TAGATTTCCTGAGCTCACAGGTTTGAGACTAGTCTGAGCCAGAGCAAGACCCCGTCTCTAAAAATAGCCAGGCACTGTGGTGGGTGCCTGTAGTCCCAACGAGTTGGGAGGCTGAGGCAAAGGAATCACTTGAGCCCAAGAGTTTGAGGTTGCTGTGAGCTATGATGCAATGGCACTCTACCTAGGGCGACAAAGTGAAACTCTGTTGATAAAAAACAAAACAAAACAGGGAGGCACCTGTGGCTCAAAGGAGTAGGGTGCTGGCCCCATATACCGGAGGTGGTGGGTTCAAACCCAATCCCAGCCAAAAACTACAAAAAAAAAAAAAAAAAAAATCATAGCCAGCCAATGTGGCTGGAATGTGTAGTCCTACCTACTTGAGAGGTTGAGGCAGGAAGATCACTTGAGCCCAAGAGGTTGAGGTTGCTGTGAGCAACAATACCATAGCACTCAACCCCAAGGTGACTGAGTGAGACTTAGTCTCAAAAAAAAAAATTATCCACATGCAAAAGAACAAATTTGGACCTTTATCTTACACTATACAGAAAAATCAACTCAAAATGGATTAAAGACTTAAATATAAGTCTTGAAACTGGAAAGCTCCTGGAAGGAAAACTAGAAGAAAAGCTTCATGACATTGAGCTTAGCTACAATTTCATGGATATGACACCAAAAGAACAGGTAACAAAATAAAAATAAACAAGTGGGACTATATTAAAACAACAAAGTTAAAAATTAACCTATGGTATGGGGGGGAAATTATATGCCATATATCTGATAAGGTATTAATCCCAGAAACATAAAAGGAACTCCATCAACGTTCAATGGCAAAAAGAAAAAAAGACAACTAGATTAAAAAATGGGCAAAGAACTCGAAAAGACATTTCTCCAAAGACATATAAATGGCCAACAGGCACATGAAAAGCTGCTCAACATCTCTAATCATCAAGGAAATGCAAATTAAAACCACACTGAGGTTGCATCTCATCTCAGACAGGATAGCTATTATTAAAGACAAAAGACAATAAGGGTTGGTGAGAATGTGGAGAAATCAGAACCCTTGCACACTGTTGGTGAGAATACAAAATGGTACAACCTACCTAACAAACCCAAACAATGTAACCTAATCATTTGTACCCTTACATTAATCGGAAATTTATTTTTATTTTTATTATTATTATTTTAGAGACAGAGTCTCACTTTATTGCCCACAGTAGAGTGCTGTGCTGTCACAACTCACAGCAAACTCCAGCTCTTGGGCTTAGGTGATTCTTTTGCCTCAGCCTCCTGAGTAGCTGGGACTACAGGTGCCCGCCACAACGCCCAGCTATTTTTTGCAGTTTTTGGCCGGAGAGGGGTTTGAACGCACACCTCTGGCATATGGGGCCAGCACCCTACTCCTTTGAGCCACAGGCGCCAACCAAGCCCGGCTATTTTTTTGTTGCAATTTGGCTGAGGCCAGGTTCGAACCCAGCACTCTCAATATATATGGCCAGTGCCCTACCCACTCAGACACAGGCACCACCACCCCAATTTTTTTAACATTGCAACCACCGTGGCAAACAATGTAGAGGTTCTCCTCCAAACTAAAAATAGAACTACCACATGACCCAGCAATCATCTTTCTGGGTATTTATCCAAAAGAATCGAAATCAGAGGCCAGGTACAATGGCTCACACAATCCCAGCACTCTGGGAGGCTGAGGCAGGTGGACTTCCTGAGCTCATGAGTTTGAGACTAGCCTGAGCCAGCCTCAGGAAACAGGGTCCTGGTCAGGCAATATATAGGCAGTAGAGCAGCACTTCCCTTCATGAGGCTCCAAGTTTAGGTGCTCCAGCTCAATGGAGGCAGCCTCTGCATGGCCTTGACAGGTGCTGAGCAGGAGGTTAGAGGCAAGAGACTAATTTGAGCCCAAGCGTTTGAGTTTGTTGTGAGCTATGATGACACAGCACTCTACCAAGGGTAACAAAGCGAAACTGTCTCAGAAGAGAAAAAAAAAAAAAAGCCAGGCGTTATAATAGGAGTCTGTAGTGCCAGCTACTTAGGAGGTTGAGACAAAAGTTTTAGGCATGAGCCTAAGTTTGAGGTTGCTGTGAGCTGTGATGTCATAGCACTCTACCTAGGGTATCATGGCACTCTGTCTCAAAAAAGAAAAAAAAAATGGGTAGTGCTGTGGCTCAGTGGGTAGGGCGCCAGCCCCATATACCGAGGGTTGCAGGTTCGAACCCAGCCCCAGCCAGCTAAAACAGCAGTGGCAACTGCAACAAAAAATAGCCAGGTGTTGTGGCGGGCACCTGTAGTCTTAGCACTCAGGAGGCTAAGGCAAGAGAATCACTTAAGCCCACGAGGTAGAGGTTGCTGTGAGTGGTGACACTACAGCACTCTATGGAGGGGGAAAGACTGAAACTGTCTCAAAAAAAAAAAAAAAAAAAGGAATGGAGATGGGTGGAGGTGGTGTTTGCACATTGTGAATATACTTAATGCCACTGACCTGCATACCTAAAAATGGTTTGGTTTTGTTTTTTTAAGTTTTTGCCTGGCACCCTCCTCAAGCCACAGGCGCCACCCTAAAATGGTAAACTTTATGTAGTGTATTTTAGTACAATTTTTTTTTTTTTGAGACAGAATCTTAAGCTGTTGCCCTGAGTAGAGAGTAGAGTGCCGTGGCCTTCGCCTCCCAAGTAGCTGGGACTACAGGCGTATACCACAGTGACTGGCTATTTTTTGGTTGTAGTTATCATTGTTGTTTGGCAGGCCTAGGCTGGATTCAAACATGCCAGCTCATTATGTGGCTGGTGTCCCAGCCACTGAGCTACAGGCACTGAGCCTTAGTACAATTTTTTTTTTAAAATGAAAAATCCACAGTAAGTTGCAAAGCACATAACCGTGTAGGGGCATAAAATTGTGTCAGAGGGGAGGCCAGGAGGCAGAGGAAGAAGAAAGGGGAGGGCTGGAGCTGGGGCCCTGGGAAAGGACATGGGAGAGGGAAGGGGGGTGCCTCAGGAAGAGGCCCAGAGCAGAAAAGAGCCAGCAGAGAGAAAGGGAAATCCTAGGTGGAGAGCCCTGGCTGGGTTTGTCCTCTCAGGAACTGTACAATGGCAGTACTTTGCCCCTCACAGGCTTCAGGCACAATTATAGGGCAAGGCCAACAAAGGTAAGCAAACAAGGTCTGGGCCTTTTCCTTTTTTTTTTTGTAGAGACAGAGTCTCACTTTATCGCCCTTGGTAGAGTGCTGTGGCATCACACAGCTCACAGCAACCTCCAGCTCCTGAGCTTAAGCGATTCTCTTGCCTTAGCCTCCCCAGTAGCTGGGACTATAGGAACCCGCCATAACACCCAGCTATTTTCTGGTTACAGTTCGGCCAGGGTAGGTTTGAATCCACTAGCCTCGCTATATGGGGCCAGCATCCTACTCACTGAGCCAGAGGCGCCACCAGGGCCTTTTCCTTTTTAAATTTTTTATAGAGGAAGGAGTCTGGCTATCTATCTTGCCCAAGTTGGTCTTGAATGCCTGGCTTCGAGTGATCCTCCAAAAGGGCTGGAATTACAGGTGCGAGCCCTCACACCAGGCTAACTTTTACTTTAACCAGGCTCACTGGTAGTCTGCCTAATTGAGAAGTAGGGAGGCCAGTTGGGGGACTTGCTCCTGCAACCTGCAATAAAACACTTGCATAGTGGCGGTGGGAGAAGTGTTTGAATCCCACATTTATTTTGTAGCTACCTGCAGATCCATAGCCTTTGGCCCTTCCAGCTTTCTTATGGAAAACACAGATCACAGGCAGGGGCTTCCTTCCCATCCTCTGTGCCTTCTGGTAGGCATGAACCGCTGAAAATATCCCAGTATAGAAGACAGATTGAGATTAGAAGACTCAAATTAAGCCCTAGGCAAGAGCAGTGGCTCAGGGCTGTCATTCCAGCACTCCAGGAGGCTGAGGCTGGAGGATCACCTCAAACCAGGAGTTCAAAGACCAGCCTGAGCAATATAGTGAGACCCCCCCCCCAATCTCAATAAAAAATTAAAAAACTAGCCAGCCCTGATGGGATATGCCTAAAGTCCCAGTTACTCAGGAGGCTGAGGTGGGATAATGGCTTGAGTCCAGGAATTCAAGACTATAGCGAGCTATAATTGCACTACATTTCAGGCCAAGAAATAGAGTCCTTGTCTCTAAAAAAGAACAAAAAAGACCATGTCACTCTGCGTTTCCCTTATCTACCACACAAATGTTTGTCTTATTTCTTCTCCTTCTCCCCATGACAACTTTAGCCCCAAAGAGGCAGGTATTTTTGTACTTTGTTCCCTGCTGTAACCACAGACCATTCCTGGCACATGCTGAATGTTCAATAAATTCTCCCTGGGTAATCTCTAGTATCCTTTAGAAGTAGCTCTTTAAAAAACCAGACCATCTCAGCCAGGTACAGTGGCTCACACCTGTAATCCTAGTATTCCGGGAGGCTGAGGTGGTTGGATTGCTTGAGCTCATGAATTCAAGACCAGCCTGAACAAGCAAGATCCCATCTCTACTAAAAATTAAAAAACTGAGGCAAGAGGATTGCTTGAGCCCAAGAATTGAAAGTTGCTGTGAGCCATGAAGCCATGGCACTCTACCCAGGGAAACAGCTTGAAGACTGTCTCAAAAAATAAATAAATAAAAATAAAAACCAGACCATCCTGTTCTTTCTCCCTGAAAGGCCAAGTCTCCAAGAACAAGAAAACTGACTATACTTGGCTGGAGATCTTTGCTGAGGGGTGCAAGATAAGCGTCAGCAAGACCCAAGACCTCCAGGAGAATCACTTGGCCCAGCCTCAGTAAAACATGAGAATGCTGTCCTAACCCTAACACCTCCTTGCTGTTGACTTTCAAAGACCCCTTCTTCTCTGGGCCTTGGTCTCTAAATGTTAAATAATGAAGGCATTGGAATATCACTGTGGGATAGGTCCAGGAGGCGAGGGGAGAGAAATTCCTGTGGGGACAGAGGGGAAGAAGCAAGACATGACCTCATCAGGTAGGAGTGACTTTTATTTGAAAGCAGAAAACACCCTATTTAGGGGCTCATCTGTAATCTACAACAGTTTAAAAAAAAGGAAAAAAAAGAAACCAAAGGGCTTGGGGAGTGGGAGGAAACGGGGTTCTGGTCAGGCAACGTATGGGAAGTGGAGCAGCAGCCCTTCGTGAGGCTCCAAGTTCAGGTGCTCCAGCTCAATGGAGGCAGTCTCCTCACGGCCTCGCCAGGTGCTGAGCAGGAGGTTAGCCCTGGCTGGCAGGCTGATGCTGCCAGGTGGGTTGGAGGTTCCCAGCCTGGCTGGGAGGCTCACATTCCCAAAATTGAGCACTACCAGGAAACGCTCATTCTGGTCCCAGGAGCGGATGTAGGAGAAAAGTTCAGGCTCAGTGGAGAGGATATTAAAGTCCCCATGCAGCAGGGAGCGCTCCTTACTCCGCTGATCACTCAGCCGCCGGAAGAGGGAAAGGAGGGAGCCAGGGTCTTCACTCTGTCCCTGAGAATAATGAAGACATAGCAGGAGGTGAGAGTCCCCAGAAGTACAGACTTCCTTTTTTAGAGAGAGTCTCACTTTATCGCCCTCAGTAGAGTGCCCTGGCATTACAGCTCACAGCAACCTCTAACTCCTGGGCTTAGGCGATTTTCTTGCCTCAGCCTCCCAAGTAGCTGAGACCACAGGTGCCTGCCACAACGCCTGGCTATGAAATGCAGACTTCTACAAACCCTTCCTACCCTCTGGTCGGAGTCTGCCCATACAAAACACTTACCTTCACAGTGCTATTGATGTGTACAGACCCTGGTATGTTAGGGAGGCTGGACTCATCCCACAGCATGACTGGGGCCTCCATAGGCTGAAAATCAGAGAAGATAGGACTTGAAAAAGGCCTGGACCAGTCATGGTGATACATATCTGTAATCCTAGCTACTCAGGAGGCCAAAGAGGGGGGATCCCTTGAACCTAGAAGTTTTGAGGCTGTAGTGAGCTGTGATCATACTAATGTACTCTAGTCTAGGTGACAGAATAAAACCTTGTTTTGAAAGAAAGGAAAAGGGAAGGGAGGAGAGGAGAGGGGATGGGAGGGGAGGACAAAGAAAAGAAAAAAGAAATAAAGAGACATGGATTCACTCTCCCTTATTTGTCCTCCCATTCTCATCTTCACTGCTATGTAACCTCTCCACCCATGCCAGGCTAATTTCTATTGGACAAGCAGGACAGGCTGCCCCCTCAACGTATACACACACACACACACACACACACACACACACACGCTCGCTCACTCTCTCTCTCTCTCTCTCTCTCTTTCACCCCTACAGCAGGGAGAGCTCCCAGACAGCCACAAGCCAACTCCCTCACTTCCCTCCGGTCTCAAGGCTTAGTTAGCTTATCAGATTTTCCTTGACCACTCTATAAAAATACCCCATCCCCTATTCTCTAGGCCCTGTATCCCACCTTCTTTTGCATAGCATTTATCAGCACCCGGCATTTCATTGTATTTGTACATTATTTAATTATCTAACGCCCTCCAGCTCTTTTATTCACTGCTGTGTCCTTGGCATCTAACACATAGGAGTTATCCAATACAAATCTGTGGAATAAACAAATGACTCATTTTATAAATATCAGGTCAGGTATCAACTCTAACCCTATGGCTGAAGCTAGGAATGTCTTCATGGTAGTAAACATGCCCCTGTCACAGCACTCACTGCCGTGCACTCTGCTTATCCCCATCTGGCTCCCTCACTGAACTATGAGCTCCTAGATGGCACAGATCCTAGCACAGAGTACTCACTGTCCCAAGAAGGAAAGAACGAAAGAATGGTGGCTACCATAGTGAACATCTATCCGGTACAATAATGTGCCTATATTACCATTAAAAACATGGTCTCATTTAATCCTAACCACCCTATAAAAAATACAGTATCACAGAAGAGATGACTGAAATCACAAAGGTGAAACAATTTGCCTAGAGCCACAGCTACTGACTAGTCTATCTGCCACCATCCACAGAACCATCATAAGATGCTTAACTCGGGTGGTGCCTATGGCAAAGGAGTAGGGTGCCAGGCCGATATGCTGGAGATGGTGGGTTCAAACCCAGACCTGGCCAAAAACTGCAAAAAAAAATGCATAACTCAACCTCTCCCAGATTGCTGTGCAGACAGCAAGCAGTACCTGTCCAAGACGGGCAGCCTGTAGGCCAATCTCATCCCCATAGCTGAAAATGGGGGTCCCCGGCAGAGTGAAGAACAGCAGCTGGTAGAGTTGGAGGAGTTGAGTCGGCAAGAAGGAAGTCATGAGCCCTGCCTGTGACAACTGCAAGGACAGACACTCTGGTGAGACACAGCCCCTCTCTGTATCTCCCAACAACCCTTTCCTCTAAAAGTTCCCCTGTTCCCCCTCCCACCAGCATGGTACTCACACTCCAGCTGCACCAGTGACTGTCAGTGGCATGCAAATACTTGGTGACTAGGACTTTTACATGCTCCCCAGTGAAATTGGACTTTGACAGGTATGAGCTGGTCAAGAGCAGGTCTTTGGTAGATTTGAGTAGGCTCGAAATCTGCTGAAGGTCAGAGTAGTCAGTTCCTGCAATCAACAGCCTGCACAGGGGAAAGCAGAGGCCAAGACTGATATAAGAAATAAAGGAGGGGCAGCGCCTGTGGCTCAAAGGAGTGGGGCGCTGACCCCATATGCCAGAGGTGGTGGGTTCAAGCCCAGCCCTGGCCAAAAACTGCGAAAAAAAGAAAGAATGGAGGTGAAGAAAGTTCTCTGGACTAGGAACCTCTCACCCACTTCTTAGAACCTAATGCTCCACTGAGGGGTTACCACAATGGAGCTGAGTCAGAAAGGTGGCCTCTGGTACCTACCTATCTTCGCCGAAGCTCTTGGTGATGTTCTGCCACTCAGACAAGAATGAGGACGCATTCTAGAAAGAAAAAAGAAGATTCAAAGTATAGGAAATATTACCAGGCCCTGGCTGAGTCTGTTCTCACACAAGTTTTGCCTTTCACATGGAAAGGTAACTCACTGTAAGATTCTCCACATCCCGAACCTGGAACCCATCCACACCAGCTTTCAGCCAAAACTCCAGAGCATCCTACAGGTGGTAAACAGAGGAAAGAGATTAATACTCAAAAGTTCCAGCCCATGCTACACCTCCTCACCCACCACATACATCCCTATAACCTTGGGAGAGACCATTATTGCCTTGCCTGGGTCTTTCCCACCAGTATTACAAAGGCTTGGCCTTAGGCTTCCTCTAGCACTAACCTCCCAGGGATTCTCTTAATGGCCACAGCACTTCTCCATTCCTGACTCTGGCAAATCACACAGCCTCACATTTGACAACCACAGGAAAGGTCCAAGAAAAAAAGTGTGTCCATAAACGTAAGTTCATTTAACCCTTAGCATGTGGAACACCAATATATCTATTTTAAAGATGAAGAAACAGAAGAAAAGATGTGCCCAATGTCATAATCAGCAAGCAGCAGAGACTGGACCTAAAATGTCAGCCAGGATCCTAAGGCAAGTATCTTTACTCCTCTCCCAATTTCCCAAGGCCTAAGGAAAGCTGGTGAGAGTAAGACAAGGATGAAAGATTAAAATTCCAAGCACAGGCTCTGTACCTGTAGCTCAAGCAGCTAAGGCACCAGCCAGATACACCAGAGCTGGAGGGTTCAAATCCAGCCCAGGCCTGCCAAACAACAATGACAACTATGACCAAAAAGTAGCTGGGTGTTGTGGTGGGCGCCTGTAGCCCCAGCTACTTGGAAGGCTGAGGCAAGAGAATCACTTAAGCCCAGGAGTTGGAAGTTGCTGTGAGCTGTGATACCATAGCACTCTACTCAGGGCTACAGCTTAAGGCTCTGTCTCAAAATAAATAAATGAATATTTAAAAATTCCAAGCACAGCACAGAGTTTACAACAAGATTTGAAAAGAGGCCAGAACAGGCCCAGGCTTACAATCTTGGTGCTCACCTGACACACCGCTTAGAACCTACCCCACTGCCCCTTTCTTCCCCTCCTCTGTACTACATGCTCTCTCCTCTGGTCTCCATTTCCATCTGAGGTGACCACTCTCATGCCAAACCATCTGAAAATACTACCCTATCAGTAATTTTAAAGGATCTCCTAGCAACTGACAATGGCTTAAACTGGATGATCCCAGGAATCCTATCCAAATGCAGAGTCCAGAATTCGACCTCAGATCATGACAGCAAAGTCAGGCTCTCCCTCCATTTTTGTTCTACCCATTCTTAGCGCATCAGTGTCCTAAAATCCAGACATCAGGAGCTGGGGTGATATTTAAGGCCCCATGTCTAGAAATCGAGCCTATACCTTCAGGAAAAGCAGATCAGAGAAGACTATTTCAAATCTTTGGCACTTGAAGCCCCTATGAACCTTAGTTTCCTCATTTACACATTAGGGATATATAATACATACCTTATATGGTTATTCAGGGAATTAGAGAACATCTATAAAATACTTGGCATAGTCCCAGACACATAGGAAGGCCCCAGCACTTTTAATTTCAGACTTGGCTACACTCCAAGTACATCAAACAAGAACTGGGAAACCAGTCAGGACAGGATTCCCACAAAAAAGGGACTTCCTCTCCCAAAAGGAAGAAAAATCAAACCTCCAGACTGACATCTGAGAAGGTCCCTTCCTGGTAGTGTCTCACCCTCAGAGTCAAGGAAACAAGAAAAATGAGTAGACAGAAAAGGAACAAGAAAAACAGGGGTGCACAGCTGTACCATCCTTCAGCTATGGGACGGGGCATTCCTGCTTGGCCCCAAGGAGCAAAGGGCCCCTCAGCTGGAACCAGGCTGGGTGTACAGGGTTGTAGACCAACTGTAAAAGGATCAATCCAGCCCTAGTATCTGGCTACTACCTGCCATGAGCTCCAACACACTCACCTTCATCTTGGTAGCCACCGTGTCAACCTGAGTGGAAAACCACAAGTTCTTGCCCCTGTAGTTGGGAGTGAGGTCCAGAATGACATGAATGCCTGAAACAATGAGAATAAGAGGAAAAGAAGAAATCAAACACAGTCTATTGAGTGTTTTCTATGTATTATTTGGTACAAAAGCTTGGATTTGAATCCTGGCAAAACTCATTCCACTGAAACACAAATATAAGCAAGAAAGGCACCTTAAGATCTTAGAAGGAAGAAGATCTATAGTGTAGTATAGCTCTGGGGATGGGGTGCTATGGGGCCCCCTCAGCTCCCCACCCCCAAAGTGAACCCTTTAAACTTATTTCTATATTGAATTATAAAACAATATTTGAGATCCCCTCCGCCCAAATTCAGTTTCACACATCTAAAAACCACTCATTTAGTAAAAGCCCACAGTTTTCAAATAAGGACACTGAAACCCACAAGTTAAATGACCTGCTCAAGACTGCATGGCCAAGCAGAAAGCCCCTGGAACCATACACCAACTCATTTTAGGATGAGGCCTAACAAACCTCTCCTGTACCTGCCCTAAGAACTAAGAGCCAATACACTAGACAAAAGTCCTATTCTCCGTTTCTTCTGGCCAAAAGACCAAACACTTTCTAGCTACTTCTTTGGGAACCCCAGGACACTCACTCTTTTTCTTGGCTGATTGTAAGAGACTGTCAAAATCTTCCTTGGAGCCAAGACTGGGGTCGATCTGTAGCAAGTCAGTCCCAGCGACATCATCCTTCTGGTTCTTGTGAATTGGGCCCAGGACAAAGCCTTTCACCTTCAGAGTGCTCAGGTAATCGAGATGCCCCTTCAGACCTGAAATGCCGGGACTGGTTTAACAAGTGGGGCTCCTGAGCTCCCCTATTCTCTCCTCTCCCCAGAAGGGTGGAGCCTGGGAGTGTGGCAGAGGAAGCTGGATCACAAGATTCAGAGGTGCTGATGCAAGGAGCCTCGTACATTACTTCAGAAACCAGTTGCGACTGGCTCTCGGCGTCATGGAGAAAGGGAGGGTGCTGAGTCAGCCACCCTCTCGAAAGAGTGAGGGCTGGGTCAGTTTTCTTTAAAAAAAAAAAAAAAGGAAGAACTAGGTGCCCCGAGCGGTCACGCACCGGATGGGGTACAGAATCTACAAAGTATGGGGGGGAGGATATGGCAGAGGTCGGTGCAGGGGGCAAAATTAAACCCCCAGAGGTACAAGGCAAGGGGTGGGGGTGCTGGCTACCGCACTCACCCGCTAGGTTGCCAGACTCGCTAGCCTGGAAGGCCTGAAGGTCGCCGATGCGGTAGAGGGCGCCCATGTGCCACCACTGCTGCACTGGAAGCTCGCGACAGCGTGGCGCCTGCACAATAATGACCACGGCGCCCGCCAGCATGCCGAGCCAGCCAAGCCAGAAGAGCAGCAGCAGAGCCCAGCGGGTGCGCACCCATCCCGGGCTGCCCGCCACCTTCAGCAGCTCCTCCTTAGACAGACCGGTGAACTTGGCCGCGGCTGCCGCCTCCGCGTCGTCTTCAGCCACCTTGATTTTCACCAGACCGTTTTTTTCCGCGCCGCCTGCCACCGCCATCGCCGTGGCCGCCCCAGACGCCGCGTTCATCGGCTGCTTCTCGGGTTCTAGTTCATTCAGCTCCACTTCCTTCATATCCACCTCGGTGTCCTGGCTCATGGTGCCTGCGGAATCGGTAACACGAAGCAGCCTGCGATCAAATGGTGGCTCGACCCCTTCCCAGAGCCCTCGACCCCGTGACTTAGCGCAGCTTCCGCTACTACTTCTGCTCGACCGTTCACCCTGGCCTGGAAAGTGACTGGAGCCCGGCCCCGCCCTGCCCTGCCCCGCCCCTTAAAGTGAAACATCGGGGATTGCTCCGGCTCCAAATGCTGGGGTGGGCGGCGCCTGGAGTAAGGTCCCAACACGCTTCTGACCGCCGCGAGGTCCAGTTTCTCATCAACTACCAAAAGCTGGTAGGGCTTACGCCTTTAGCTGGACAAACTGTCATCTGTCCGCCCTGGATTCTGAGGCCCCTCTTCACCCACTCATCATGGTAGTGACTACCAAACACCATTTTTCATTTGCCCCCGGCCCAGGGCTCAGGCCACCGACAGGTAGTCCCAACCAACCAAATCTAATTTCTCCCCCACTAAACTAGACTTCTGCTCCCCTGTGGGGTTTACTCCCACTAGACTTTCTTTTTTTTTTTTTTTTTTTTTTTTGAGACAGAGCCTCAAGCTATCCCCCTGGGTAGAGTGCCATGGCATCACGCTCACAGCAACCTCCAACTCCTGGGCTCAAGCGAGTCTCCTGCCTCAGCCTCCCAAGTAGCTGGGACTACAGGCGCCCGCCACAACGCCTAGCCATTTTTTGGTTGCAGCCATCATTGTTGTTTGGCGGGCCCGGGCTGGGGATTCGAACCCGCCACCTTAGGTGTATGTGGCTGGCGCCTTAGCAGCTTGAGCCACAGGCGCCGAGCCCCACTAGACTTTCAAGACTCATCCTGAGTTTATTTCAAGTAATTGCTCATACAGTAACTACTTATTGAGCACTCCCTACAATACTTTGTTTCCTTACCTTAACTAATTCTAGTTATTTTTTTAAGACTTTTATTTATTTACTTGTTGATGCAATTTGGCCAGGGTTGGGTTCGAACCCACCACCCTCGGTATATGGGGACGGCACCCAACTCACTGAGCCACAGGCGCCACCAAATAGTTGTCATTGTTGTTTGGCAGGCTGGGGCTGGATTTGAACTCATCACCTCTGGTATATGTGGCTGGCACCCTAGCCACTTGAGCCACAGGCACCCAACCATACCTTAACTAACTCTAATTCAGTCTTCTTTTTTCTTTCTTTTTTTGTAGAGACAGAGTCTCACTTTGTCACCCTCGGTAGAGTGCCGTGACGTGACACAGCTCACAGCAACCTCCAAATCCTGGGCTCTGCCTCAGCCTCCGGAGTAGCTGAGACTACAAGTGCCCACCACAATGCCCAGCTATTTTTTTGTTGCAGTTTGGCCCAACCATGTTTGAACCCACCACCCTGGGTATATGGGACCAGCACCTTATCCACTGAGCCACAGGTGGTGCCCCAACTAATTCAGTCATTTTCATGTTGCTTTAAAATAAACCTGTCTGGACAGGAAAGTTGAGGTTGACACCCCTCTTCTGACCCTACCCCCACCTGCAGTCACTAGCACCAGGATGTCCAGCAGCTAGGAAGCAGACCTCCAAAAGAGACTCACTGGGGCTGCAGAGGAACCTACCTTTTTCCTAGAACAGAACAGAGGGTGCCAAGCCCAGACTCTCCCCTCACCTTGCAAGGCCTCCACAGATTACCCCAAACTCCTCCCAGATGCCAGAGTTCCCCTACATCCCCATCACTTTATTATCCTCGGCACTGGAGGCAGCTAGTATTGCAGAGGCCTCCCAAACTCCCTCCACGGAGATCCTTGGATAGAAGATGTTAAAGCAAAAAAAGCCATGTTCTGTAAAATAATTTAGAGAGATTTATGCTGAGCCAAATTTGAGGACCCCAACAGGAGCCACACCCAAGAAGCCTTGAGCAAGTGGATTCATTGTGGTGGGCTTACAGATTGATTTTATTTATTTTTATTATTTTTTTTTTTTTTGAGACGGAGCCTCAAGCTATCGCCATGGGTAGAGTGCTGTGGCATCACGCTCACAGCAACCTCCAACTCCTGGACTCTAGCGAGTCTCCTGCCTCAGCCTCCCAAGTAGCTGGGACCACAGACGCCCGCCACAACGCCCGGCCATTTTTTGGTTGCAGCCGTCATTGTTGTTTGGCGGGCCCGGGCTGGGGATTCGAACCCGCCACCTTAGGTGTATGTGGCTAGCGCCTTAGCCGCTTGAGCCACAGGCGCCGAGCCAGATTGATTTTATACAATTCAGGAAGACAGGAATTACAGGTAAAGTCATAAATCGGTATGTGGAAGGCATATATTGGTTTGACCAAAAAAGGTGGGACTTCTTAAAGCAGGGGCTTACAGGGTATAGACAGGTTCAAAGATTCTTTAGTTGAGCAAAGGAAGAGTTAGGCTTTGTCCAATAGACCCAGGAGTCAGCAAAAAGGAATGCTACAATTAAGATAAGGGTCTGCTAATCAGAGACAAACTACCAGACACATACATGCCCAGACTCATGGTTAGTTATGTATATTGAGGACTAGCAGGTGTGTCTTGCATAGCCATAGGCCTATGGCTGAGTCACAAAGGATGTCTCTAAGGTGTGATGAGGCATGTCTGTTCTCCTTTCTCATGGCTAGCAACCTAGTTTGGGTGGGATCTCCTTGGCCAGGAGGGAGTCCAGTCAGTCAGCCACTGGGGGATGGGGGAAACTTAAAATTTTAGTTAGTTCACAAAGGTTAGTGAGGCAGAGACAAGTTTCACAGCAAGGACTACTAGACACCAACAGTATGAGGTAACAACACTCTCAGGAACTGCTTGTTCCAGAGAAGTGCCAGCGGGGCTATTTTCAGAGAGGAACTGAAGGAAACTGGTTCTTTCTCCCTCTCCCACTTAGGCTGGAAGCCAGGAGTGCTGTGTTTTTGAAAGAAAGCAGAAGCCAAGATCTGAAGTAATAGAAACAAAAGGGTATGAAAAGGCTCGTCCTCTGCCATTCCCCTTCTATATTCCAAAGCATCCATCCCTGTCCCCACCCTGGGAAAACTGGAACCAGCTCCTAGCAGAGGCAGGCAAGTGGGTAGAGGTTAAGGTTCATACCAGTGCTCAAAGATGGATAAGAGGTCCAAGGTCCCCTGGACATACCAGATAAGAAGTGCCAACCAGACTTTAGCCACAGCATGAAAGCTCAAGGTTGGAGGGAGGATGTTTGTTGGGACCACAACGTAGGGTTCTGTGGGGTAAAACCCCGCAAACCGTATGCTCACTTTAAATTCCAGAAGCAGGTGGACAGACATCTGTGGAAGGCAACTCTGTTGATGACCCCGTTTCCCTGGTCAGCATGGAACAGGGCCTGGGGATTAGGGCTTAAAAACCCATCTCCAGTGACTCTGGCCATGTGGCTGTTAAGCCTGCAAAGAAAGGGTTAAAAGGGGTGGCGCCTGTGGCTCAAAGGAGTAGAGCACCCACCCCATATGCTGGAGATGGCAGGTTCAAACCCAGCCCTGGCCAAAAACTGAAAAAATAAAATAAAATAAACCCCACAAGCCATCTATTTAAGAAAAAAAAAGAAAGAAAGGGTTAAAAATGTTTCTGCAGAGACACAGAAAACTAAGCAGGCCTCCAGGTTGCCAGAGACAGAAGCCATAAACCTGCTTTCTGTAAAACAATGAGTACATAGTAAAACTCCAAAGCTTTACTGCCCTCTTGGTAACCTCAAGTCTCTAGACTTACTCCCTTTTGCAGCTGTCTCAAGGTTTCAAACTTTGTGTCTTTTTGAAGGTTGAACTAACTTTAGAAAAGTAGTATGAATGCTTTGCTTGTTAATTAATAAGTGACCAGCCTACTATAAAAGGTAATCATGCTACTTCCACCAGGAGTAGTCTCTCTCTTTCATAATTCCAGATGCAAGACTACACCTGTGGCGATGCTGTCTGTCTCTCACGAAACCCCAACGCAACAGGGTTCATGTGAATCTTTCTAAATGTAGAATATAAATGTCTTAACACAGAGGATGCCATGAAGGCTATATTAACCAGTTTGATAAAAGTATTTCAAATTGTATATAAATCCAGCACACTGTACC